TGGAAAGACAAAGTTACAGGGATGGCTAACAGACATGATCTTGTGTTCTAGCTCCCCACTGACTGTCCAGGGCACCGTACTAAGAAGGATGTGACATTCCATCTAATCTCAGATGCAGGAGTGTCTGGATTAATTACTAATGTCAGACACAGGCCCCTGTTGCATATACAGGATCCCCCTCCATATTCAAGAGAAAAAAGTACAGAGGTTGGGATACCAAACACTGTCACCCTCTGGGGAGTGCGACTGAGCCTAGACATATGGGACGGTCTCTTTGAACACTTCTGTATTGCACAGATTCCTTGTGATTACATACTAACTTCTGGAAAATAATACTTTTAAAAAATGTATATTTTGCATGTTTGTATGTATTTTTTAATGCATGTACATATTGTATTTATACCTTTTGAGCCATCAATTCTAATTTTGGATGTTTAGTTAATGGAACTAATCAGATAAGTGTACAAAGGTGCATGTAGGGCGTGTCCACAGTGGAGCGCATGTTTTAAATATGTATAATATTCTTATAACAAACACATACCCACCAAAAAACAAATGCAACAAGATGTATAAAAGTCCAGAACCAAGAGTCAGTCCTCCCCAGCTATATCATATGCCACAGAAACAAAGGATACATTTTTGTCAGAGCACTTATCCAGTTTGCTTCCAAAATAGTCACCATATTCTCATTTTTTATTATTAAATTACACCTCATTCTTTATTTGAATTTCATTAGTTTTTCCATCAATGTCCTTCTCCTGCTCCAGGATACCACCCAGGACATGATATTGCACCAAGTTGTCATGTCTACTAGACACCTCTGAGAGATCCCTGCATTTTTTTTTTTCCTTTTTGTCTTTTTTACTGACCGGCAACGGGATCGCAACCCGCGGTGTTGCGCCCGCACCGCGCTCAGCCAGTGAGCGGGAACTGGTCTCTGCATGGGATCCACATGGGATCCGAACCCTCGGCGGGAGCGCCGCAGCACTCCCAAGCAGCGCACTCTCCAGTGCGCCACCGGCCCGGCCCGATCCCTGCATTTTAAACAGGGTTTAACCATCTGCCATCAGACTGTGATTCCTGCCAAAGACCCTGCCAAGGACCACCCATCCCCATGGCAGGTTGAGGAAACTCACCCTGGATCCTGGGTTCCTGGGACCTGCCTGATTTGTGTCTTCCTCTTCCTCCTTCTCATGGGAGCACAGGATGGTCTTTGCACCTGAGCTCTCCTGAACAGGCACAGCTGTCACCTGGGGGGCAGTGCCTGCAGAGCCTGTGGCAGCTGAGCCCATCTGGTAGCTTTACCCTTAGCACACGCCCAGGCCTGCTGCCTTCTCTGCCACTCTGGGGGTGACTGACCTCTTAAATGAGTGGCCTCGGATGGCAAACAGGCTCCACCCAACGTTCATAGTCTGAAAGAACCAGGAGCCGAGTGCTTTCCTTCTTATATGTTGGCCTCAAGTAAAGAAAAAATACCCAGACACTCTTGCCAGCCCAGGCGCATGGGCTGGGGAGGACCCATGGTCTGTGGGGTCCATCACTGCAGGGAGATATGTGGTGTGCCTACTCCAGGCCTCTATTTTCCAATATTATCAATATTTAACCACAGAGCGGGAGCCAAGGCTGGTCTTTTACAGCCTGTGCTTTCTCATAATAAAGGTCATGGCATCATGTGAATTCCTTACAAGGAGCTATAAATAAAACCTTCGGAGAGTGGGGGCTGGGGAGGCTGTGTGACCAGCAGTGACCCAGGGAGGAGGAAAGAATCCAGGTAGAACCCCTTGGTGGGGAAGCAGGAGTGAGGCACTCCCCCAACAAGGCCAGCCACGTTTAATCCTGGTCGTCTGTGGGCTTTAAGAGAGGTTGGCCGTCTCTAGGACGCTGGGTCAGGCTGCGGGAAATCCAGGCTCACACATATAGCCGGAGGGGAAGGAGTTGCTTTTCTTAGCTCTGGCTTGAAAATTCCTGGGAAGGAACTCTAATTGTCCTGGCCTGGGTCATGTACCCATGTTTTGTATCAATTGTTATTGCTGGGAAGGGGGAGGTACTGTGGATGGTCGGCTCAAATCTCACCCCATCAGGTAGCCAGGAGAGAAAGGCTGTGAGCTGAACAGCCACTCCTATGTGGGTCCCTGAAGTGACCACTTGACCACAGTCCTCTTTGTCTGCCTTGGAGGAACGTTATGGGCCTCTAGTGGGATTGTGTCCCCTTCAAGGGGAGCCTGCCCTACCCTACGTTTTCCAGTCTTCTGCCTCTGTTTATTTTTTCTTCCTCCTCTTACCGTAGCTTCCTCTGTTATAGCCTGTCCAATAGCTTTTATCCCATAGTTGCTCTGTGCCAAGCGTTGTGCTAGTGATGAACAATCACAGGCATTGTCCCTGATCTCATGGAGATTGCAGTCTAGTGGGGAAACAGATAGACAGGTGTTCACACCAGGGATCATGTCATTATCACTCTGTGTGACAAGTGCCATGAAGAAAATGTACACACAGAGATGAGAGCACATCAGCAAACCCTCCCTTCCTCATAGCTTGATAACTTACTGTGGAGGATATTGACATTTATGAGATAAAAATAAAACACATGTATTTCACAGGGCCTTAGCCTTAGCATAGTAGGACCAAAGTCCTTAGTTTAGTAGGACCAAAGTCCTTAGTTTAGTAGGACCAAAGTCTTTAGTTTAGTAGGACCAAAGTCCTTAGTTTAGTAGGACCAAAGTCCTTAGTTTAGCAGGACCAAAGTCCTGTAGTTTAAGCCTTAGCTCAATTCTTTAGAAATACACATCGAAATGCTAAGATTGGGAAAAACCAGAAAACCTTCACAGAATTAAAGTCTTTGATGCAGATAAGAAAATTAAAACACAGCAAAAGTGATTACTCTGGGGGCAGTTGCCCTTGGTGCAGCTAAACCTATGTGATGGGAAAGTGTGGGAGCTCAAATCTTCAAGGCTATTCTGCTAGTTAGTGGTGGGGGGATGTTCCACATCTTACCCTCAGCCGTTTCTTTGAGTTTCTTAGGGGACTAAGTGCTGCCATGGTGATTATCTCATTGTTTCTTTTTGTATGTCACATAGCTTTGTTTTATGACTCCTTTGATGGTAAATTGCTTGAACTACTTTAAGTTATACCTGCTTTAATGAAGATTGTCATGTAACCAGTTTATTTTGGGGACTAAGTGCTGCCATGGTGATTATCTCATTGTTTCTTTTTGTATGTCACATAGCTTTGTTTTATGACTCCTTTGATGGTAAGTTGCTTGAACTACTTTAAGTTATACCTGCTTTAATGAAGATTGTCATGTAACCAGTTTATTTATGTTTTTACTATGACTGATGAACCACCTGTGTTTCTTCTGTAACTTTCTTGCCTGCACAATAAACACTGAGAGAAAACCTAACTCGGGGCTGTGCCTGGGGCCCTTCTCTCTTGAAGGAGTTCTCCCTGGGTGCAGTCACCTTTGGGCCTCTCATTGCTCTGGATACATGGGCTCTGAGTGATCCTCTACATCTCCATCACCCTGCAAGAGGTGACATCTTACCTTGAAATCTCCTTTTCTGACTCCTCCGGTCTTTTATCTCCCTGCCTAGAAGATGGTGGGCAATCAGCAGGGGAGTGGCGTGGAAAGGACTCTTGGCTTTTTCCTGCTATTTTAGTATCTGCTACCTCATAATCTTCTAGTCTTGGCTTAAAGGTCACCTTCTCAGGGAAGCCGTCCATATCGGTTAGAAACTGTGTTTGGCTATGGCTAACAAAGACCCAGTTCCAGTGATTTAAACACATAAGGGTTTATTTTCTCATGTGAGCATTTCAGAAGTAGCCAGTTACTGATGTCATAAGATCAAGGGAATCAGGACTGAGGTTTTTGAGATTCCTTCATGGTCCCAAGAGAGATGACACAGATCCTGCCATTACATCCAAGTTCCAAGCAGAAAAAAGAAAATAGGGAAAAAGGATAAAAAGATGTGGCCATGAAGTATGATGGAGTAAATCCAGACAACATGTAGAACAATGGACAAGGGAGCCATTCCCACAGAACAGTAGCAGGAGCAGCCAGGTGAGCTAACCAGAGAATTTATTCTACTGCCAAGGCAGGGGGTCTTCATAGGTCATGCGCAGCAGGATTTGAAAACTGCCATGAACCAATTGCCTGCTGCATAGACTGGAGAACAGCCTGCTAACTTTCCCCTGGAATACACTTCCCTTCTTCCTTTTAGTAAGAGAACCCTCTGAAATTTAGAAGCATATGGCCACCCAGCTAGAGACTACATTTCCCAGCTCCCTTGCAGACTTGAGCGGTCCTTTGACTAAATTTGGCCAAAGAAGTCTGAGGAGTGGTACGTGACTTCTGAATCACTATTGCAATGTATGTAAACTTTTTTACTGAAAAGTACGCAAATATTAAGCTATAGCTTAGTAAATTTTTACATGTAAACCACACGCATGTGGGAACATATACAATCCAGAATAAGAAATAGAACACTGCCAGAACCCAGAAGTCTTTTTGTGTCCCCTCTGGTCACTATCCTTCACAAAGACAAACTGACTTTTAAAACCATAGATTACTTTTGCCTATTTTTATACTTTATGTAAATGGATCAATCAATAAGTAATCTTTTGTGCCAGGATTCTTTTGCTCAATGTTATATTTGTGAGATTCATTCATGTTGTATGTAGTTGTGATTCATTCATTCTTATTGCTGCATAATATTCCATTGTGACTGTGCCACAGTATTTTTGTCTGTGGATCATGTTTTTATAAGAAAATTTCAATCCCTTCACTTCATCATCAGGTGACACCAGGAGACATGGACGCCCTGGCTAGCTGTTCTTACCCTCATTTTCACAAGCATCACTTCCCCTTAGAAGCCAATTCAATAATTCAGTTTGAACAATAATTCTTCCAAGTGCCCATTAGCAGCATGCTATCTTCTCACTAGAGAGAACGTCATAGAAAATAAAACGAAATCTGAAAGTGGTGATGTAAAGGAGTGATCAGAGATGTATGTACAAGAATGTTCACTGTAACACGGTTTAAAATAGTAAAAGAAAAAAATCTAAATATCCAGGATCAGGGGAGTGGCTAAATTATGGTATGAATGGAACCACGTATTTCTTCTAGGGGCTAATTTTTATGTTAAACCCAGAGAGGGAAAAAACCAAATAGTGGAATTAGTGAGGGGACTTCTGGAAAAGGTAGGGCAATTAAGTCCAAAATTACTGGTGTTTAAGCACTGACTTGCTGCCTTCACCTGCAATAGGGACAGTTGAGAGGAGCGATGGGGATCCAGAGAGAAGCCATCTTTATGTTGAAGTAAAATGATCTCAGTGATCCAATGCTTTTTCAACGGACACATATTTTGCTGGGAGCATTTCAGGAATATGTACAAAGTGTGGAAAGTTTGGGCAGAAACTGGTGTGAAACCATGAAATAAAGAAATGTATTGTCTCCAAGGAAGGACATTCTGCAGCAGCCACCACCTTTGTCCCCTTCTTCTTATCTGCAGCATTTGAGACTTTCTGTGTCATTGACCCTTATTTATAATCCTTAATTCTTTCTAGGTCGTTGACCCCTTGTTCCTGGTTATAGTGTAACCAAATATCTTCTCCAATCCCCAACTTAATCAGACTCCAAGAGTGGAATAAAATTAAAGTCTATCAACCTTCCTTTCAGCTAGATGAGGCGCTTGACGTTTGAACATTCACAGAAGCATTTTTGTCAGGAATCATAATTTCTTTCCAGAAGGAAGTTGTAAGTTAAATCATGCAAAAAAAAAAAAAAAAGTTCTGTTCTGGATCAGGATTGGGATGATTTTTCTCTTAAAGCCCCTCCTTTTGGCTCAGATAATTTTTAAAGATCTACCTTGATCAAAAAGGACTGTCTTTTTATGTTAATGAAATTTGTTGCCTAGTTGATCACTTCTTACATTTTTTAACAAATGAAGGCAAGTAGGCATAGAAAACATGCACAATCATCATTGCCAGAAGTATTTGTACGCCCATTGATATCATTATTCCTTTAAATCTGCTTCCTATATTTGGGAAGAATTTTCAAACGAATATTGTACAGTGACTTAGTCTACTGGTGACCACTTCATGCAGCTTATGAGCCTGAATTATGTAAGTGTTATCTAATGTGTCATGTTTTAACTCAGAAGTGTGACAGAGGCATCTATAAATGCACGAAGACCTCCTTGCTAAATGGTGAACAAAATTAAAGCAATAAGATTTGAACCAGAAAGTTAATTTCACCTGTAAATTCTGTAAAGCCCTAGGGTTGAGACCCATTCCTTCCACAGCACCTGAAATGCTTTTTCCTGACTTTATCAGTGCA